AGAAAAGGAAGAAAGAAGACAATCAAAATTCACAATGGCGTCACTTCGTACCTTGTTCAGTCATTGAGGATTAGATGTTTTAACTATTTTCTGCTGGAGATATGCACTGTAAATTAGCAAAAATCCTGACTTAATACTTTGTTTTTTGAAAGTTCTTACGAGTGCATAACAGCTTGTTAATCGTACACTAAAATTAACAGTCACAAAAAGAGACCAAACGCACTTTGATTGAAGAATAAAAGAGAACAAAAAAAGAGCAAGCTTTTTCTTTCTCTTAATATGGCAAATGCGCTATTTCTAGGTGCGAAGTATAGCCCAAGCAAAGGTAATTTTGCCTGGCCTGATGATACGGAAGTTGTTTACAACGCATGGAATCCAGGAGAGCCTCGATTTGGATTGGACTGTTCTCTAATGATGAATAGGAAAGGCTGGGGTACAGATAGGTGCGACATGGAACGAAGCTTTATTTGTAAGAAAGGTAGGTTATTATGGTTTGAAAGTGCATGGTTGTCTTCATTTTGAGTCTAAAGGTGCTATGTCTACTTTGGATTTTCAGTACAAGGATAAAAGTATATTGAGAAGTTGCATAGGGTCGCCGATTTCTTTATAGTTGCTGTCCTTAGACAGAAACGTAAATCATGCATTAAAGTTGCGACCTTTGGCGTGAAAACTTTCCGAGTCTAAAACTCTGGCATGTTGTGTAAAAGCACCCATTCTGTTATTGGCTCGTTATTGAATAAAAGGTTATGGCAATATTAACAGCTTAATCCACGCCTATTCAATCTCCAAAAAACCTAGCAAAATAGTCAAACAAAAACATAGCCTTTCCCGTTTTTTAGAACTGAAGAATTACAAGCGAAGTGAAGTCAAGGTAAAGACGGAAAAGAAAGAAGACTACAAGTGGTATGCAGAAGACTGGGACGAGTGTTCGGTTTCTTGTGGTGGAGGCCAAAGAAATAGGAAGACATTTTGCGGTGTTGACAACAAGAGAGAGGTTGAAGACACTTTGTGCGAGGGTATTGTTACTTTCTTTTCTTTTTCACTGGAAACATTCATTTTCATCAGAAAGAACCTTTAAAAGATCATTCCAATTTTATTACTTTTGTTTCTATAAAAGGTAAATTGTGGAATAGTTGCAACAAACATAAGGTTTTATCTCGCATAGATCCTCCACCCGCAGCATGGCAAGAATGCAACGTGGAACCATGCCCCTCTGAATATAAATGGAACGTGGGAGACTGGCAAGACTGCAGTAGGACTTGTGGAGGTGGAACCAAACGCCGAACAAAGATGTGTGTTGGAAAAAATATGATATCTACCTCCTGGAAATTATGTAAGGACAAAGCACCAGTTACTAAACAGAAGTAAGAGAAATTATTACTTTCTATCAAACGTAAAAATGCGACCAATTTCGTTGCAATTTGCAGAATATTTTATAAACACGAACGGAGATAGTATCGCTCAGTGGCGAGGGAATTACGACAATGAATTTTATGCCAACATAGGTGCAACACTGAGCCTTGTCCAAGAAGAAAGATTCAACTATCACCATCACCAGTCTGGAAGGTGAGTATATGTGAAAGTAAGTTTAAGCTAATTAAAAATTATTCCACGAGCGCACGTTGGATTTGAGAAGATTGATAGCCAAGACTATGAAAACTATTGAACTGCAATATCCAATGATCCAGTTTTTTATATTTGTTCTTCTCCATTAATTCTCCCAATAAATGAATAAAACAAAGCGGAAATAAAACACACCACCTCCATACTGTAGGTCTGCCCATTTCCAACCGACAAACTAATAAATTTACAGCCCCAACAAGTGATACGCATGGTATTTCATGTAAGAGTGATGGAAACAATTTTGCACTTTGCACACGCCTTGCAGGCTTGTGGCTTTAAATTATTCTGAAAACGCTTTGGCTGTTTGGTCTAAATATCCATATATTAATTTCCGCTCTAAGACCAACTTTTAAAATGAAGATGATTGACAGGGAATACAAGCGCATTACACGTGGATAAGTTGCAAATAGGGCGTAAGTGTTCATCCTAGCAACATGCAACAACAACAAAAACATCATCAACAGGAGCAGCAGCAGCGCCGACAACAGCATTTGACAGCGAATTAGTAACAGGTACACGTTAATAACAGTAGGGAAGAAAAGGTAGGATGATCGAAACGTTCTTTTGCATGTTTGCATGTTTATTTTTAATATCTTCGTAGGTGAGCTCTTGGAGCAAGTGTTCTAAGACTTGTGGATCTGGGCATCAGATAAGAGGTGTATTTTGTTCCAGGAGCAATAATAAACCACTAAATACGTCGGCTTGTGATGGGAAAACAAAACCCACTGATCTGCGACGGTGTTTTTTGAAGGAATGCATACTTAAAAGAGGTTTGTATTTAAAATGAAAAAATGTACGTTTCTATTCACAAAAAAATATCTTAGAACATAAGCAAACGATATTTGCTTTTTGATATTGAAACTCGTTTTATTGTTTCTATCAAGAAGTTCAAAGTACACTTTTCAGTCTTTGGCAAGTGCATAAGTCTCGCGCTACGTTTTCTTGAAGCTTCACGCGGAATTTTCCTCAGAGCGCGTTCGACGTACTGCTTTTCGAATGACCCGTACTAACGTTAATATTCAAACTGATAAAGGCTCAAGCACCAGCCGAAACGTCTTGAACGAAACATAAAAAAAAAATAGTCAGTGTCAAACCATTATCTTACAGTTTAAAGCATCAATTGCATTTACTTTGATGTAGTTATATTATATCATTCGGCATAGCTCAAAATTTTTGCATAATAATTTCTCAAGATGGGCTTTTGATTTTATCTATTGGCTTGTTGGACGCCGATTCAAACGGTCCTGTTGGTGTCTTCCCCAGTTAAAGAACTGTCTCAACCAAGTGTGCAGCGAAGTCAACATATTTCTCTTGACTCCACCTGGAACATTGTGATACTCATAAGGGAAGGAAACTAATCTCTGATCTTCCTTTTAAAAATAACAATCGACTTTTGTTTCTTTGCAAAGTCCACAGGTGCTCTGATAGTCACGTGATGTGTAAAACTTGGGCGAAGCAGGGGAGTTGCAAGACTAGTGCGTGGGTTCGATCAAAATGTCGACGTCGATGCAAGACATGTTAAACACACGTGGACCAGAGACGATTCAAAATGAACGATCTATTTTCCTGCGCACAGAATGATAATGCGCCTAAATAATAAAATAATGTTATAGGATTTCATCAGGGCTAGATGCTGTAGAGATAGATAGATCTAGTGGATAGATCACGTGTGTCCGTGAATGTGTGTCCTAAGTAGGCATATCTGATGTTTTGTTGTAAAAATTCGAAGAAAATGTTTGTAAGTTACCATGGTTGTAAGACTGCGAGGCTCGCAATTCGGTCTCTTATCACACCAGATAACACAATTGAAAGAATAATTTGTTATTTAGCAGGAAGATTTTCCACAACAATGCGCGCCCTCATTGGCTACTTCGTGGACACATGACGTTTAACAATAAAATTGTTTCCCACCAAAAGTCTCTGAGTGACAACACTGCAAAATCTATGACGTCAGAGGGTAACATTGCGCTGTAACCCGCTAATGTTGACCGTCTTTGCACACTAATTCTTTTTAATTTATTCTTTGTGCTATATCACAAATCACTTCAGGAAACGAAATTAACTGTTTCCCTCAGGACCAGCCATTAAGTGTTTATTGTGGACCACGGATACGTTTAAAGATATTAAGTTTGCTGTGGAACAGCGTGTAGGACGGTTAGTTAAAAAGGATAAAGACTAGACGGGGAGACCTCTGGTCTCTTCCGTTCTCGTCATACTTTGTGCTTCTCCCTGAATAAGCGAATGCCTCGAAGAGGCCGGATTATGTACAGAGCCGAATGACATGAGGCCATTTGACTGATGTATGGCAGAATAGGCCATTTTACAGTCGTGTGCTTAGTTACCTGGCCTTTGAATGCAAGCGAGGCTAGAGGTGACCTTGCTCAGTTTGATACAGACCTCTCTGCTTTTCTCATTCAGATTCCAACTAGTTAGCATGAGAACAACTTGATTTACCCGACAAAAGTGGTGAGGTCTGTATCAAAACAAGGTCACCTTCAGTCTCGCTGCCATTCAGAGGCCAGGTCACTGAGCAAACATCTGTAAAATGGTCTATTGGATGGAATTATATCACACGTTAAATTACAAGATAAGAGCTATCCTGTTTTTGACAGACATGAAAAATAGGACGCCATTTAAGTGTATCTATCATATTGAAGTGGACGAAAATCCCAGGCAGGCGTGCTTTAATCCCAGGCATGAAGCAAAAACTGCCCGATTGACGGATTCAGCCAACGTGTTCAGCCAACGTGTTCACACCCTTGTTGTCACCCAATTCAGACCACGTGACGATTCATTTGGGAGGTTACAATTGTGTAAATTGTCAAACGCAGCTGACTACATGTGGGCATGTACAAAGGGAACAATTGTAACCTCCTGAATGAATCGTCATATGATCTGAATTGAGTGGTAACAAGGATTTAAATATGTTAGTCAAATCCACCCATTATACACAGTTTGGCTAGTTTCGCGAGCTTTACTGCGGGTAAAATTTTCTTCTCAACCTAGATTCAAAACCTGAAAAGTGTCGTCGAACTCTTACTCCAAAGATTTCAAATCATATCACCTTGACCTCCAGTGCTTTCAATTACAAGGATACCGGCCGTTTAAGTTTTTAAAGTGAAAAGTTATTGAAGGTCACATAATTTATTTAACAATTATTTTCCAAACACGAAGTGAATCTCGGCGGATATTTGCCGAGTTTCATTGTGCCGAATAATTTTTTTAGTACAATTACCACAGGTGAATTTCGAGAGCTACAAGACATCGAACTAAAACATCGTAAACAACACACGCCAAGTGTTCGCCTGCGTACGTCTATGTAACATCAATCTTAATTTGGCGCTAAAACACATGTACATGAAAGAAACACTCACTGTGACAAAAACAATCTTCAGGTACCTTTGTTTCATCTTTGATAACTTCGTGAGCAAGTGTAAATAGCGCCTGAAATGTGTAGCTCCGTTCTGCCAGATCTGACAAACTTCTCTGAAATGGCTGGCCAAATACGAAACCAAGGTTAAATGCTTCCAAAATCATTTCTTGACGGCATGTTGATCCATGGTTCTCGCAAATCATTTTTCTAAATTCCCAATGCTTTGAATATGCTGGAGTTAATTGGAGTGATGTCTCCAGAATAAACAACACTGACCCAGCCGCCATAATTGTCCAATGTGGATTACTTAGTAACCGCTCACTGATCTCGCGAGGAAAATGCGAGTCGATTACTGAGTTTCTCGGCCTGTCAAAATTCCAGATTTTGACTGCTTTACTGGTTGAGATATATTCGCCTTCAGAAAGTGTACTTAAGACTGATAATAGTATAGTAGAGTAAAGGAAATATCAGGTATTATCACCTGTGAACAACTGTTCAGAGATTAAAGGAAACAATACTCAAGTTATCAAACGGAAATCTATTTCTGGATACGAGATATTTATGGAGAAAATTAACAGAATGCAGGATATTCAGAAGAGATTTCAAGACACAGAGATAAAATGAGATCAAAGCTTTCAGTGTTTGAATAGTAAAATCGGTTTATTGATCAGAAAAGATGTAGTCCTCTGAGAAAATTTAAACGAGGAGGCCAGGAACGCGATAGAAGAACGAGACAAACGCTTAAGACATCATGTCTTTATACACACTCGATGTACTCGTCCCCCACATAAAAAATGT